AGGGTACACCAGGGTGCACCAGGGTACACCAGGGGGCACCAGGGTACACCAGGGGGCACCAGCGGGCACAAGGGTACACCAGGGTGCACCAGGGTACACCAGGGTACACCAGGGTACACCAGGGGACACCAGGGTACACCAGGGTGCACCAGGGTACACCAGGGTACGCCAGGGTACACCAGGGGGCACCAGCGGGCACAAGGGTACACCAGGGGGCACAAGGGTACACCAGGGGGCACAAGGGTACACCAGGGTGCACCAGGGTACACCAGGGTGCACCAAGGTACACCGGGGGGCACCAGGGTACACCAGGGTGCACCAGGGTACACCGGGGGGCACCAGGGTACACCAGGGGGCACCAGGGTACACCAGGGTACGCCAGGGTACACCAGGGGGCATCAGGGTACACCAGGGTGCACCAAGGTACACCAGGGTACACCAGGGTGCACCAGGGTGCATCAGGGTACACCAGGGTGCACCAAGGTACACCAGGGTACACCGGGAGGCACCAGGGTACACCAGGGTACACCGGGGGGCACCAGGGTGCACCAAGGTACACCAGGGTACACCAGGATACACATGGGGCACCAGGGTACACCAGGGTACACCAGGGTACACCAGGGGGCACCAGCGGGCACAAGGGTACACCAGGGTGCACCAGGGTACACCAGGGGGCACCAGGGTACACCAGGGTGCACCAAGGTACACCGGGGGGCACCAGGGTACACCAGGGTGCACCAGGGTACACCGGGGGGCACCAGGGTACACCAGGGGGCACCAGGGTACACCAGGGTGCACCAAGGTACACCAGGGGGCACCAGGATACACCAGGGTACACAGGGGGCACCAGGGTAAACCAGGGTACACCAGGGGGCACGAGGGTACACCAGAGGGCACCAGGGTACACCAGGGTGCACCAGGACACACCAGGGTACACCAGGACACACCAGGGGGCACCAGGGTACACCAGGAGGCACCAGGGTACACCAGGACACACCAGGGTACACCAGGACACACCAGGGGGCACCAGGGTACACCAGGAGGCACCAGGGTACACCAGGGGAAGCCAATACCCCACATCGCCAGGGGCAACTCCAAGGTCAGGTGTAACACAAACAAGGAGCAACGGGTTCAAGCTCAACAAGTCACAATGTACTTCAGAAAACCGATGTTTTTTAACGCATAGAGTTATATACCCATGGAACCGCCTACCCGCCCTAGCCGTAAATGCCAAAACCTTGCTAAATATTAAAACCCAGCTCGATAAACTCACCAGGACAAATGGAGCGGGACTTCTGACAAGCCGCCGGCTTCCTGTCCTCGTCGAGGCCACTGGTGATATAGTGGCCCTCAGGTAATTATGGTGGACAACCCACATGCATACGGAATGTAACAATCCGGTAATTGGTAACAATTTAATACTTGTACGAACCGTGTAACGATGTTACTTCTCCTCGTCTTATTTCCACCCGTCAGTACCTGCTGCCATACTCGTGTTACTTATCTCTGCGTCTTAATGTGCTCGTTAAGCCCATGCGTGTCGTTACTGCACTCACAGGCGAGGCGAGGGCAACACCACCTGTGGTGTACTTACCGTACTAGGAATCACTAGTAACCGAGTCCTTGTCGTGGCTCACCGTAGTCCGTGCTGCTGGGAACGTTCTGTTCAGAGTAGCTGAATCTTGAACAACACCAGCAGTAGTAACACGGATTAGTTACACCCGTGCCACCTCTTGGGTGGCTTAGTCTTCATCAATCAATCACTAGTAACACATACTGAACATCCAAGGCTTCGTTAAGCATTTTGTGAGTTGTCACAAATTCGTTAAACAACCACAACTTCAGTTCTAGTAGATGATTCACTGATGAAACAGTCTGGCGGACGAGCGGTGACAATACGCCACATTACACATTGTCTAACAAATTGTGATTTAAGTATTTTTTATTTATTTGTTGTTCCTGGGTAATTATTTCCTAATTGCTTATGCCACCAAAGTATAGAAAATTCAAATTATTCTCACAAATTTTCGCTTTTGTGACCAGGATGGTCTCTGCTTCTGCTACAATGTGACCCGTCTGTTCCAGGCAATTGGTATCGTCTATAATCCGAACGATTAGCGCCTCTTCATGGACAGCGTATCGAGGAACCTGCTGGCAGTACTGCTCCATAATGGGCACAAGTGCCACTCTCCTCCTCCTGGCTGCAAGGTGCACCTCAAAGAGGATTTCATCGGCAGCAAGACCTTGCTAGACGCCTTGATGTATGATGAGTACGGCTGCAAGGTCATCAGAGAATTCAAAATGGTGGCATTCCTGATGGGACTCCAAAGCGGTTTTACCAAGTTTCCCTGCTATCTTTGCCTTCCGGACACCGGTGTGCACCACCAGGGGCAGGACTGACCCCAGAGGACTCGGGTCTCTGTAGGGAGGAACAACGTCAAGCCACTGGTAGATCCCAGAAGGTACTGACGCTACCGCTACGTATCAACTTAATTCCTAACAAGTAATATGTCGCAGCTCTAGATCAGGAGTGCAAGGATTTTTTTCCTCCAAAAAGCTCACTAAGAAAGAGAAAGGAGCTTAGAACAGCTATGTCACAGTGGTTCGGGGCTTCCTGGGTAATCACAAGGCCGAATACTATTTGGAACTGGTTGAGACTGATGAAGAACTACGCCACAATGGGCTGCAGTCCGCATCCTTGATGCTCATCTTGATAAATTCTTGATAACTTGATGTTAATTTCGATTCATATGTATATACTGACTTTACGTGAACGAAAAGACGCAGATTCGGCCGTTTTCTCGTTGTATATTGGTAAATTTCGAAATATAATTGTCTTGGTCACAAAAGCAATGTTTGAGGGGGAATAATAGCATTTTTTTATACTTTTTAGGCATACGCAATTATGAAATAACACAAACTACCCAGAAACACAAATCATGTTACTCTGTTGTGGTTCCTTCTTGACATCTTAAGTGCCTATGCCTCGGCCAGAGGCTGAAACCTAATGCCATTCTCCTGGCGCAGTACCATCTCCCTCTGCCCCCCCCCCCACTGTATGTAACCTAACAACTCACCTGTGTGCCCACAAAGGTTCTGAAGGCCCCAGACCGGGTGAGATAGTAGCCCTTAGATACATTCAGGGGGAAGCCGGCACACGAACGAACACCCCACATCGCCAGGGGTGGGGTGTTCGTTGGAGTGTACACTGGTACACTCCTCCAGTGTACACTCCAGTGTGCACTGTAGCGTACCAGTGTTCACTGGAGGAGTGTAAACTGGTACACTCCTCAAAGGTACTCCAAAACATTTGTGATCCGAGTGTGGTGAGGTCGACTGTAAAACCTTGCTCGGGCTCCGGTTTGGGGCCTCCAGAACCTCGTAGTGAATTCAGAAGAGTTCCGGGTCAGTCGGCTTTTGTACCATCATGGCCGAGTCGATTAGGGCAGGTAGCTGGGATTCGCCAGAACTCAGGTTCGAGTCACTCTATTGCATTAAAATGGCGGCCCGTCATGAAACTCACGCATTCGTCGGCCCATCAGCACGTCCGTGTATCTGTCGTCCTGTCAGGACGTCCAGGTGTGCGATGGTCTCAATTTAAGTGTGAGTCAAGAACAAAGCCCACTGTACTACGAAGAGTAAACCAAAAATAGACACACGAGCGAAACTAAACTGTGGCAGACGGGTCTACTCATCAGACTGACAAACGGGGCGAGGGCCTACATACAGACGGATAGGTATGTCCTGACAGACCATCGCACACCTGTGGACGTCCTGACAAGACGACGAATGCGTGGATTTCATGACCGACCACCAATTACACCCGTCCTGTGGGCGGCGGAGGGAGGGTAACACATACCCCACACCCGTCCTGTGGGCGGTGGAGAGGGGTTACACCGGTACCCCACACCCATCCTGTGGGCAGTGGAAGGAGGGTAACACCCGTACCCCACACCCATCCTGTGGGCGGTGGAGGGAGGGTAACACCCGTACCCCACACCCATCCTGTGGGCGATGAAGGGAGGGTTACACCCGTACCCCACACCCATCCTGTGGGCGATGAAGGGAGGGTAACACCGGTACCCCACACCCGTCCTGTGGGCGGCGGAGGGAGGGTAACACCCGTACCCCACACCCATCCTGTGGGCGATGAAGGGAGGGTTACACCCGTACCCCACACCCATCCTGTGGGCGATGAAGGGAGGGTTACACCGGTACCCCACACCCGTCTTGTGGGCGGCGGAGGGAGGGTAACACCCGTACCCCACACCCGTCCTGTGGGCGGTGGAGGGAGGGTTACACCCGTACCCCACACCCGTCCTGTGGGCGGCAAAATTACCGGAAACAATGGTTTAACTATTGTTTAATATTCGTTTAACTATTTGCCTACGGCATCTATGATCTTCAGTTAATTACTTCACTAGATAATTGCTTTTTTATATTTTTGTGAAATTACACTTGGTTAATTTTTTTATTTTTGGTGTTAAACCAGTAATCAAAGTATGGGTATTATGACGGAATTTTGTTCATATTCTGGGAACAAGTTGGGCATAATTGGTGGCTCGTAGTCGGCGTCTTTGTACTCCTCCTAGCCGCTCTCTACCCTACATATGTGGCTTATATACATGCCCTATAGTTGTGTTTCTTGTAAGGCTTCCAGTGTCTAATGGCTTGATACCTTCTTCTTTTCGCTTATAATTGTATATATACCCTTTGTATCAATCATTATATGTTTGTATTTATGTATATGTGAAGTTGTAATATGTATCTGGCATGTTATTAGTCGCATTTCTTTTGAAGGTGCAGTAAGAGGTAGGGAGGTGAAGGACGCTTCACCATCTCGCCCATATTATTTAACTCTCTCCATTTGACCAGTATATATGTGTGTTGAAGTTTTTGAGAGAGAGAGATATATTATCCCAGTGTGGCGGCCCCAGTGTGGCGGCGGCGGTGGTGGTGGCGGCGGCGTGTTTGGCGCGCTTCAAGATTCGAATCTGTTTTCCCACAATGCCTCTGTGTTGATCGTGACGTCACGGCCAGAGAGACGTTGACGCCATACTGGGTGTAATTGTGAAAATTCTGCGAATCCCATGCCATCCGTGCGATTTCTAGATGTTGAACGATAAATACATGACATCCTACCACCTTAAATTTGCAAAAAGTGATTGCGAGGGAAGAGAGTTTTGGGATGGCCGGTAAGTAGAGCGGAGGATGGCTGCGAAGAGGCCGAGCCCAGCCTGTCTCTGCTGATGCACGGACGCAAGTAGCGCCGGTTTACTCTGAAATAAATAAATACCGCCGGCCAAAATAGGGAAGTGTGGCGGCGACCCGCGGGGACAGACTAGTAACTCCATAATGTCTGATTTTGCAGGCAATGGAGACATCCAATGGTGCTTCTCTCAAGTCAAAGGGACCCTAGACGATGACGTTAGTGAAGGTAAGACCCGTCACAAGTGGTTGTTAGTGTGCTTGTTACTGTGGCAGGTGGGCGCCCGCCCTCACCTCTTCTCGCTCTTAAATACTGGCATAACACACACACACTTCTCTAACACCCTTAGGCTACACACACTTCTCCAGCACCCTTAGGCTACACACACTTCTCCAGCACCCTTAGGCTACACACACTTCTCCAGCACCCTTAGGCTACACACACTTCTCCAGCACCCTTAGGCTACACACACTTCTCCAGCACCCTTAGGCTACACACACTTCTCCAGCACCCTTAGGCTACACACACTTCTCCAGCACCCTTAGGCTACACACACTTCTCCAGCACCCTTAGGCTACACACACTTCTCCAGCACCCTTAGGCTACACACACTTCTCCAGCACCCTTAGGCTACACACACTTCTCCAGCACCCTTAGGCTACACACACTTCTCCAGCACCCTTAGGCTACACACACTTCTCCAGCACCCTTAGGCTACACACACTTCTCCAGCACCCTTAGGCTACACACACTTCTCCAGCACCCTTAGGCTACACACACTTCTCCAGCACCCTTAGGCTACACACACTTCTCCAGCACCCTTAGGCTACACACACTTCTCCAGCACCCTTAGGCTACACACACTTCTCCAGCACCCTTAGGCTACACACACTTCTCCAGCACCCTTAGGCTACACACACTTCTCCAGCACCCTTAGGCTACAAACACAATTATGTTGCACTTATAATTGCCTATACAAAAAAAACTGGTCAAATATGAGGTGGGTGTATGTGGTATGTGCTGTGGGCCATTAGTAGTGATCATGGTCCATGGAGATGGGATAGGTTAGGTTTAAATGATAGAAATGTTTAAAGCAGCATAACGACGAGTGTGTTAAGAGGTATGATACTCGTGAATGATAGAGAAGTGAATGATGTTATCAGTTCAGGGAAGGCTACACTTGTATCTCCAGTTGGCTGCTGCCTTTGGCATTTCTAATGAGATACTTTAAAATGATAAAAAGCCTACTCTACCCCAAGAGAATACTGCATTGTACACTCATGTGCCATTGACCTGAGAAAACTGCAAATGCCTGTAACTTGTTGTGTTTCATTGTAGCGCATGTTTGCAGTGGCTGTTTTGTAAATTTCACAAATTCACTATCACAAATTTGTACATTTTTCCTGGATCCATTTCTTTAGTCTGAGTACAGTTTATTGTATAGTTTTTATTTTGCTTTTCTAATACAATACAATAAAGAGTTCCATATACAGAGTTTGGTCCACTAGGCTGTTGCTTGGAGCGGCCCACAGGCTCTCATATCCACCACAGCCCGGTTGGTCCGGTACTTCTTGAGGGAATACAGTGATAAAGTCCGGTACTTCTTGTGTACAATTGAACGCTTAAAGTAAATATTGATGAACTAATCTCCACACACACACAAAATACATGATTAAGATCCACATACCACAGGTCAGCTGGTCTCAGTGTAATTGGAATTTGCATTTGTACGAAGTTAATATATACATATTCTGTCCAACACTAAACTGGGTAGTGGAACAACGGCTTTACTTCTTGTAGGAGTGACGTTTGTTCCCAGTGGTTGGACACTTTTATTACGCTACAAGTGTCCTACTTCTATCATGTCCTACACGCTATCATGTCCTACTTCCTTAAGTGCTATATAGTTGGTACAAGTCACAGTGTACACAAGGTAATTTGCCAATGGATTTAAAAATCTACCTTACCTTACTTAACCCAAACCAACCTGACCCGAGCCTAACAGCCTAACAAAAGCCAATACAGCCTACTCTAAAGATATATATGGTTTTGACAGAAAACAAGTTTGTTTTGATGGTCTGCCAAATTATCGTGTGTACAATTTGAACTAGTATCGCTTAATCATAATGGTTTAGGGTTTCTTCATCTTGCCTTCAAATTCTTCTTGGCCTATACGAACTTAGCCACTTGGTGTTTATATGGAGCTGATACTGTACTTATTTAGTAATACTGTACTGTAATTATTATACCTGCTTGATGGGGTTCTTGGAGTTGTTCTACTCCCTAAGCCCGGCCTGAGGCCAGGCTTGACTTGCAAGAGTTTGGTCCACTAGGCTGTTGCTTGGAGCGGCCCACAGGCTCACATATCCACCACAGCCCGGTTGGTCCGGTACTTCTTGAAGAAAACTATCTTTCTCTTAAAGATGTCCACGGTTGTTCCGGCAATATTTCTCATGCTTGTTGGGAGGATGTTGAACAACCGTGGACCTCTGATGTTTATACAGTGTTCTCTGATTGTGTCTATGGCACCCCAACTTTTCGCTGGTTCTATTCTGTATTTTCTTCCATATTGTTCACTCCAGTATGTTATTTTACTGTGTAGAATTGGTACCTGGCCCTCCAGTATTTTCCACGTGTATAGTATTTGATATCTTGTCTCCTTTCAAGTGAGTACATTTGGAGAGCTTTGAGACGACCCCAATAATTTACGTACTTTATCACGTCTGTGTATGCCGTATATGTTCTCTGTATTCCCTCCATTTCATGCAATCTCTCCTGCTCTGAAGGGGGAAAGTGAGTACTGAGCAGTACTCAAGACAGGACATTACATGTGATTTGTATAATACAGTACAACCATTGTGATGGGATCCCTGGATTTGAAAGTTCTCGTAATCCATCCTATCATTTTTCTGGCTGATGCAATATATGCTGTTGTTAACTTTTTTCTAGTTTTGGATTGTTGCATAAGTGTTTAAAGATTAAATAAAAAGTATTAATGGGGCAACCTTATATACACAGTTGACAGTCCTCTTATTATTTGATTTTAGATATATACATGGATTATGCCAAGGAATTATGGTAAGTTATCACCTGTCCCAAAATGCTGGAAATTGTGGTGTATGTAGTCCTAATAGTTAAGCTGGGTATATTAGTCACCAACAATGTAATCCAGACAGATCACGAGTAGTTTAGGAACGTCATAGTCATCACTTGGTCGGTCAAAAAGAGTCAGCCTAGTGTTTGATTATTCATAAAATAACACTCCTGCATCCTCAGAGTACCCAGGGTGCAGGTTCAAATCATCCTCATGGCTCCTACTGATTTTCTCATTGATACATCATGTTAATGCGAGTTCTTCGTGCATAACACTCCTTAACTTTTATAGATGCCTCCCTCGGTTGGCTGTGATCAAACTTCAGCACTTATTTGATTTATCTATCATATCTACAGCAGTAGAATTTATATACTTACTGCGCTGCCCTGAATAAGTTTAGGTATTACATAATTTAATTATTTTAATTAGCATGTAAACTTTTTAAACATTTCAGCGGACATCATCTCCTGTGTGGAGTTTAACCACGATGGAGACCTGCTTGCCACTGGAGATAAAGGTGGCAGAGTTGTCATCTTCCAGCGGGATCCCTCGGTGAGTTTGTTTTGCTCGTCAATCTGTAGGCACTGTAGTAGATTTGAGAAAACGGGTCATTTAATTTCTCCCATTAATTTGAAACACCTCTTCTATAAGCATATTAAAATATTTATACAAAGTTTTCCTATTTAAGGAATAGATTTAGTATATACTATACTGATGTAAAACATTAGTGCTCTGCATTTAGGTTAAAGAAAGGTAGTCTCATTAGCCCTTAAAATAAGTAAATTTGCTGTATTCTCAGCAGATAAAACAACTACCAAAGTTTGGTCTGATTGTTATGGTTTTAGCTCATACAAGTGATATAAGATGACCCCTAAATACCATAACCATCTATGGTAAAGTTTTAGATCTATGAGTACTAAACAACCAAGACGGTAATATACTCGAGATGAGATGAGGTTATCTTGAGAGGATTTCGGGTCTTAGCGTCCCCGTGGCCCGGTCTTCAACCAGGCCTCCTTTTTGTTACACACCCCCAGGAAGCAGTCCGTAGCAGCTGTCTAACTCCCAGGTACCTATTTACTGCTAGGTGAACAGGCGCATCAGGGTGAAAAAACTGCCCATTTTTGTTTCCGCCTCCACTGGGGAGGCGCAATGAATTAAACGTACAGTACTATTAAATGTTTATGAATGACGTTTATTAAACGTAAATGAATTAAACGATCAATGAGACATATGATAAGGTAAATACTACATGTAGACTATCGTCTGTAGTGGTAGTTGGAAGTTTAACCAAGGTCAGTGACGGATTTGTTTACATACCGTACATATGATAGTGTTGACAAAGCTGGTGGGCATGGCTAGTAGGTGGGTGAAGCACAGTTACAAAATGATTCACAGTTCTGTCTGTTACTAGCTTCTATCTTAACCAGTTTAAAAAAAATTATTGTGTGTAATAAAATCTTTCGAAAAGTGTGGTGTATATACAGTAATGCAGTGAGTGCCATGGAGGATGACTTATTGTGGGACAACGATGACGAAGCAGAGTTGCCGAATTCAGACTGGGACCCATATGACGAAATATGGGTCGTTGTCATGGGTCCGTTGATAACTACAGTACGAGTATATATTATTACTAGTATCTACAGTATATTTTTGTGCACCTTAATGAGCCGCTAATACATTTGGGTAATTACACCAGTCAGCTGATGACTACCTCACCAAGCAAAATTCCTCCTCTCAACATACTATGCACTTTGCTAATTCTCACCTCAATGCTGCTATTATCAGAACCAAACAATGGCAGAGTGCTGTGGCACTCATGCTTAGATGAACCAAATAATGGTAGTAATGGCTAGTGCTGTGAACACCATTAACAGCATTGTATTCACTGATATCTGAACATTGTACACAGTGTTTATTACAATAGAGCTCTTCTATAATACTATCATTGCAAAATAATAGCAGTTTCATATATGTTGCATAATTTTAAGCAATGCTGTGGTCACAAGTTGAACATTGGTGATGTTAGATCGTGCTGTATGTGCCAGCCTTGTTAGTTCACTCGGTACTGAGGCCTTCACACCCAGGCCTCACTCTTTTTATTTGATTCGTTCAAATGGCGGCCTATTTACTAAAAGTCCTGAGGAAGCCGATACGAGCCCAGTGTACCCGCAGGTATTTTAAAATCTTAAGTTGTACCCTAACTCTTAAGGGAGCCGGTCAGCCGAGCGGACAGCACACTGGACTTGTGATCCTGTGGTCCCGGGTTCGATCCCGGGCGCCGGTGAGAAACAATGGGCAGAGTTTCTTTCACCCTATGCCCCTGTTACCTAGCAGTAAAATAGGTACCTGGGTATTAGTCAGCTGTCACGGGCTGATTCCTGGGGGTGGAGGCCTGGTCAAGGACCGGGCCGCAGGGACACTAAAGCCCCGAAATCATCTCAAGATAACCTCAAGATGACCTTCATATGACGGGATGTGCAGTCTGAGCATAATTACTTATCCCATCATATGATGGAGTGTGCAACCGAAGGGTTAATAAGGGGTTTAATATGTCAACACAAAACAGTTAATTTAAGTCTGCTAAGTCTGCTAAGTTAATTTAAGTCTGGCTAAGTCTGCATTTAGGAAAGACCTGGGTAAATACTGGTTTGAAAATTGGGTTGTTGATTTATGGAACAAATAACTGGGCAACATATACACATGGTGCAGATAGATTGTTTCAACTGTAGGGTTGGGTGGAGACAAATAGGAGCTGCCTCATATGGATCAATAGGTCTTTGCAGTTTCCTTAATTCTTATGTACAGTACTGGTACTTATGTTTATATTGTGTTTATTCTTACATAATTTGTTCTGCCTATCCTCATGTTTTGGTGGTACTTATAGTGTCGATGAGGAAAATAGTATATATACTGATGTACAATGAAATTAGAAATGTGAACTATTGAGTTGGACTAACTGGAAAACTATTTTTTACGTAACTACCCCTCTACGTTGCAGTAGTTTACGCAACGTAGAGGGGCGGTCTCTTGACCACCCCTCTACGTTGCCGCCTCCCGCTTCGGACTTTGTCCATTCGCCTCTGGTCCGTCCTCCCGCTCCCTTGTCTCGGTTATCTTTGCTAGCTTTACCTCTGCCCCGTCACCCTGATTTCACTGATCCTGATCTTGTTCTGCCTTAGTCTACTGTGTTCTGCTTTGGCTCTGTTTCTCCCTTATTTTCTCTGTTTCTGTTCTTTCTTTTTTTGTCTATGTTCTTCAATGGAATATTAGTGGTTTTTATGCCAACATCTATGAACTCCAACTTCTGATCACTCAGTTTTCCCCGTTTTGTGTTTATCTCTAGGAGCCGATGCTTGGCGCTCGTCCTGGTCGCTCCCGTGGTTATTCCTTTCTCTTTTCGCCTCCAGCTCTTGCTGGGGCCCATGCCTCTACTGCTCTCTTGATCCGTCTTGATATTCCCTTTGTCCCCCTACTTTTTCAATCACCCATTCAGTGTTCTGCGGCCCGTATCTTTGTGTGTAAATGGCATACAGTCTGTTCCATTTATCTCCCCTCGAATGTCCCACTTTCTCTTCCTGATCTTAAATACCTGTTCGACTCCTTGTCAGAGCCTGTGTTCCTTTTGGGTGATGGCATACTCTCTGGGGTGATGTTCTGACAAACACAATGGCTGCCTTCTTGAAGCGAGGCTTCAGAGAAGAAGCCTTGCTTCTTCTCTGTCTCTTCTGAATTCTGGTGAGCTGACTCATGCTGACTCCTGCACTCACACACTTTCCTGTCTTGATCTTTCTCTCTGCTCATCTTTTCTTTATTTGGACTTCATCTGGCAGGTTCTTGATGACCTACATAAGTGACCATTTCCCCCTATCCTTGACACCTTCTCTCTTTGCCCTCCCCTCTCCTTTCCTAGGTGAGTTTGCCAGGACTGATTGGAACCTCTTCACTTTGCGTGCTACTCTTTCCGGCCTCTCTGATCTGCCTCTCCCCCGAGCCACCTTCCTCTTTCATGACACTCTTTTTGTCTGCTGCCCTCTGCTCTGTTCCTCACTCTACCTCCAGGGGAGCATGGAAGTGCATTCCCTGGTGGAATGCAGACTGCTCAGCCTGTCTGCTGTAAGCGTGCAGCCTGGAAGAAACACCACCACTGTAGGACGCTCGTTTTTGTTTTGTTTTGGAGGGCAAGTGTGGTAGCCCGTGGGACCATACGTACAGCTAAACGTGGGGGTTGGAATTCTTTTGTTTCCATCATTTCGTCTGACACTCCTCTGCCCCTGATCTGGAAGAAGATCCGCAAGATAGCGGGTAAGTTTGTTCCAGATGTCTCGCCAGTCCTTCACCTTCGTGGTTCTATTGTGGCGGATCCGGTGTCAGTCGCGACCAAACTGAGTTCTCACTTTTCAACTGTAGCTCTGGCTCTCATCTTCCTCCTCTCCTTACTCGTAAGCACCTTTTTGAATCTTCTCCCTTGATTTTTGTACTTCTCTTCAACTTCCCTATAATGCTCCTTTCTCTCAAAATTCCAGTCTGCCCAGGCTCTCTGTGATTCTATGGGGGCGGGCTCAGGTGATAATCATTATGAGATGCTTCTCTATCTCCCTTCATGCACGTTTTAGTTTTTACTGAGTATTTATAATGTGTCTAGGAGTCGTTGTCAGTCCCTGAGGACTGGCTTGAGACGATTGTTCTTCTTATTCGGAAACCTGGTTCTCTAGGGGGTCATCCCCTACCGTCTCATTGCTCTCATGAGTTGCATCTGCAGACTTTTTGAGCGTATGGTCAATGTCCGTCTGATGTGGTTCTTGGAGTGCTATCACCACCTCTCTCCTTAATTTGGCTTTCGCAAGTGTCGCAGCACAACTGATGCCCTCGTGAGCTTGGAGGTCTATATTTGAACTGTGCTGCTTTTGCTGCGAAGACCTCTCGTGTTGCTGCTGTCCTTTTTGACTTTGAAAAGGTGTATGACACCACCTGGCAATATCATATTCTGTCCCAACTCCATTCTTTTGGTCTTCGTGGTAATCTCCCTCTCTTCCTCCAGAGCTTCCTCTCTCGTTGTTCATTTTGAGTTTGGCTTGGTACCACTCTCTCTGCCTCTTTTCGGCAATACGAAGGTGTGCCCCAAGGTAGTGTTCTGAGCACGAATTTTTTCCTGGTTGCCCTCAATGGTCTTCCTAACGTCTTCATGGCTGAACTTTATGCAGTTTTGTTTGCTCTTCATCAGCTGCTTTCTCATCGTAATTCTTCCTTTGTTGTTGTACAATAGTTGACTCTCTCAGTGCCCTCATGGCTCTGGAGTCCTTAATCCTGTCCATCCTGTGGTCGGCAAAATTCAATATTGGCAGTTTCTTATCTCTAGCAGATTTAAGACAGTAGAGTTTAGCTGGGTTCCCAGCCATATTGGTGTGTTTTTAAATTAGCATGCGGATGCTGCCGCTAAGGAAGCTATCTGCGCCTGTCCCCTCTCCCGTAAAGGTATTCCTTATTCCGACTTCTACCCAGTTATTCATATCCTCAATCCTTGCCCGTTGGCAGGGTTCTTGGTCTTCTGTTACTGGTAACAAGCTGCGTGCTCTTCAGGGTAGTGTGTCCCCATGACCTTCCTCCTACCACTGTAACCGGCGGTGGGAAACATCTCTGGCGAGGTTACATATTGGTCATACCATACAATACCATATTGGCCGTGCTTAACTCACGGGCACTTAATTGAGAGCCGCCCTGCTCCTTATTGTTCGAATTGCATTGTCCCTCTTACAGTCGTGCATATCCTTGTTGAATGTCCTGACTTCCAGGATGTACGTGCGTCTTGCTTCCCGACTGTCCCTCGCGGTCACCTGTCCCTCGTTGGTATCCTTGGTGAATCAGATGCCTTTGATGTTGTTCACCTTATGCGCTTTTGTTCTCGTATTGGCATCCTAAGTGATATTTAGCGCCTTTTGAATATCCCGCACTTTAGACAGTGCTACATAACATCCTCGGTTTGGTGCTTTCTTTTGATAATTACTTACTTGTAAACTAGTATTATTATTATTTCTGGGGGGCAACCCCTTCAGCTACCCAAAGCTATCCGGACTGATGTGTGTGTATTAGACCCTGACATCAGTCAAAGTGAATGGAGTTCTAGGACTAATGGGGACCACGAACCAGAACCTGGCCCCCTCAGAGAGGCACGAGGAGCAATGGCCTATAGAAATCCCTGTGTAGTTGGAACCATTCTATGTCTGCCATCGACTGGGTCAGGCACCCAGAGAGGTAGGTGCCCAAAAACAAGCCCTATCTGGTTAAAATGTTGCTACTGAAAGCCGAACTGTTGGCCAGAACTCCCCAAACGAAAAACAAGCAAACGAATATGACGTCACAATCGTCACTGCGCCGCTGTCTGACCAGCTCTCCCCCCTCCCCAGGAGGGGGGAAGGGGAGAGCCCCAGACCTCCGTCAGTCAGTTCCCAACCCGTCAGTTCTGTGGCTGATGTGAGACCTGGCAGTCGTGTAACTGGCTCCAGACTATTCAGTGCTGTGCCTTTTGGTGGTGGTGTGAGCCAGGAGTAATTTCACCAGTACTCGGGCTGCATGCGCCTAGAGTTACCTTCCCTAAGTGCCCTGTAAGTACTGCCCTTGGGGTTTGGGGTTATCTTCCACAAGTTGCTTGGGGGCTACCTCCGCTGTGATCTTTTACTGCTTTACTGTTTTTTACTGTTAGTCTTTTACTGCTCGGTAATTGCCTGCCCTTGGAGTCAGCTGGGGTGTTTCGTGCGCCTCTGTTTGCTTCTGGGTAGGTGGTGGTTTTGTCACTGGTAAGGGCGCAGGGTACTGTACTATGCAGCTCTTCTTCACCTGATATAAAGGCCGGCTCTGTTTCGCCTGGGTACGTTGTACTTGTATGGGGCTTTTAATTTGTTTTTGTTTTGTGCCTGGTGGAGGGTCTGCCCTTGGTGTTATTGCCACTTACATATATTGTATTCTTGGTGGTCCTCCACTAGGTTCCCTTGAGTGTACACGTCCCAGGGGTTCAGCTATTAGTTATTAGCTTGGTAGTTTGGGGTGTCAGTTAGCAGTACCTTGCCTGAGCTTCCCTTAGCAGAGCATCTAAAAGCCCTGGAAAACCCCACTGGGGCTCAGTGGTCCAATGGCAGTGTCCCCTGGGTCCCATCTCGCTTCATGCAAGTTTGAAGGTTGCTCTGTCCCCTTCTCTCAGGGTGACAATCACCTGTTTTGCCGCAGTCATGCTACCTGTTGGGTCGGTGACACCTTCGACCCAGAGTCCTGCGAGTGGTGTTGCTTGCTTGTTCTCCAAATTACTCAGTCCACTGACATTGATCTTAGGGTGCAGGCAGCTTCAGTGTTGCATGCACATTATAGGTTGCTGCAGTGCGCTAGGGTAGTTGCTCACCCAGTTGCCCCTCTTTTGGTTATAGGGGCCCAGACTTGAGGGTGTTAGTCGCTTCGATTTTGGTTTCGTCTCTGCCCCCAGGTCCTTTCCCTGTTGTTGTTCGTCCTGTTCCTTCCTTCCTTGCTTCCGGCTCTGAGGGTTTTGGAGTTAGGGGCAGGGTTTAGTTGGTGGTGAGACTCGGGCAGTTTTGGGGGATGCCCCTTCCGGTGTGATGACAGGCATTCGAGCCCGTTCCTCCAGCCGGTGCTTCTGGGTCTGACCAATGGGCCTCCTTCGGTTCAGCTTTTCCAGCGGCTTCTGCCTTTTCTTTTGAGGCAGGGGGTTTGAAGGACGACTCGGGGCCCAGGTCCTGATGTGGAGGATCCTGGGACGGGGGAGGGGTTGACTTGGGGGATTGGGCCCCATTTGAACCCGCTTGGGTTTTGGTCTACTTATGCGCCATCTGAGCTGTCCTGGACATGGTACTCTCTTTTCTATCTTCTTCTCGGTTTGTTGTGGCCCCTTTGGTTCAAGATTGTTTTGCAAAGGCTCTTTTCCTGTTGGCATTGGCATCTAGGGGTTGGGTTGGGGGATCTTTTTGCTCTCCTCTGGCGCAGGGGTTTCTGCTCTTTGGGCCCTGGTGACAGGTTTGTTCGTTTGCAGTCATCTCCTTCTTTTCTGGCGAAGAATGAGACTGCTGCTTTCCGGAGGGGTCCATGGTTTGTTGATGCTTGGTTGGTTCGGCTGAGGGTGCAACATGTGTTGTGTCCGGTTGCGGCTCTTCGTCGTTACCTGTGCAACACAGCCTCGGTGACAGGAGACGCACTTTGGGTTGACCCAGTTTCCTTCTTCCCTGTTTCAGGGCTACGGTCTTCCAGGTCGTCTGCAGGGTTATTTGGTCCAGCCAGCCTTTGGTCTATTCTCGTGCCCATGACGTTCATAAGTTTGCTGCTTTGGCTGCTGTCTTCAGTAAAATGTCTTGGGCTGACATTCGGGCACGGGCCTTTTGGAGGTCGAACAGGGTCCTAGCTGCTCTCTTGTCAACGTTCCTGGCTCTAGTTGCATTGAGTCGGCGGTTGCAGCCAGTTGTCTCGACTTGGAGTTGAGGAGTGAGTGGAGACCACCTCCCAGGTAAATTCTTCTTGGTTTTATCTTTGGTTAAGTAGCTCCGGGAAGCCAAAGAGGCTTCCCCAAAAAAACCAATGTTGAATGAAATGAGAAGCCATTTTCTGGGTGAGACCCGGAGGCTCCCCAGAAACCCTCCCCTCCCTCCGGTCAGCAGTTTTGTGAGTTTTTTCACATCCAGCATCAGAACTAATGGGTTGGATAGCCGGCCGGGGATCTGGGGCTCCCCCTTTTCCCTCCCAAGGAGGGGGGAGCTGCGCAGACAGCAGAGTGGTGACGGCTGTGACGCAGGCTCGTTTTTTTGTTTGGGGAGTTCTGTCCAACGTTTGGCTTTCAGTAGCAATATTTTAACCAGATACGGTTTGTTTTAGGGCGCCTACCTTTCTGGGTGCCTGACCTGCTCGATGGCAGTCATAGAATGCGTCCAACCACAAGGGGGTTTCTACAGGCCATTGCTCCTCGTGCCTCTGAGGGGGCCAGGTTCTGGCTCATGGTCCTCATTAGGCCTAGAATTCCATTAGCTTTGATGCCAGGGTCTAGTATATTCATATCAGCCCAGAAGCTCCAGAGAGCATCCGGGTCTCATCCAGAAAATGGAGTTTCATTACATTCAACGCTGGTTTTTTGCACCCTTTAAAAATGTTAATGTTTATCAACAGTCTAAAAACTGCCATCCCCGGCGTGGCGAGTACAACGTCTACAGCACCTTCCAGAGTCATGAACCAGAGTTTGATTATCTTAAATCTTTAGAAATTGAAGAGAAAATCAACAAAATTAGATGGCTCAAGAGGAAAAACCCAGCACACTTTTTACTCTCTACTAATGGTAAGTTGGGTAGCTTTGTACTTGTTAATTTTCTTATACATTACTATAGTAAGGAACTCTGTATTAAAGTTAGATACTCTACATATGTTTATGTAACCAGTACATTGATTTGTACGGAATGACAGTGCATTCAGCACTGTCATTAAATCAGCTGATTTAATGAGTCACTGATAAATCACTGATTTAATGAGTCACTGATAAATCACTGATTTAATGAGTGATAGTCCAGTAGATAAATACTACCTATGCAAAATTTGTTTGCTATGATATATGCCAAGGATTAGAGATGCTGGTTGGTAGTAGGGTATAAAATTGCAACCAATAGTCAAACTTTTTAACACTTACGCTCACCCCGCGCGCCATCCCTCGACAGGGCGATATGGGCCCCAGCGTGTCACAGAAGCGCGCGTTAATTCCGAAAAGTGTATACTCTCTTCAACTTTGTCACCTCAATTCTCCTTCTATGAGATTAAATTTGGTATCATTGTGTTCGCAATAAAATTCTCTACAGCACTAAATGCATATAAACTCCAAAAGCCCGGCTAATTACCCGCAGCAAACAGAGAAAGTGCGAACGAGTTACCCGGGAGCGCGCAAACGGGATAAAATGTTTTCACTATTTTCACTCTGGTCACCTCAATTTTTGTCCTAGGTCTTTCATTTTGGTCTCAATGGGTTCGTAATAAAATTCTCTAGAGGAACATTAGCATATAAAAAAAAAAAACTGGTCACGCTCCAACCGCCGACGAGTTGAAGACGGGCCACGAGTTAGCCGTGAGTGAGCGCTCAGAGGCCTTCCTGCTACACTCCCAATTCCCACCCTTTTCAAGCCTTTCTTTCGGAATTTTCTTCCTGGAAAGGCCTTGTTCATGATTACTATCCATCGTGGAGTAAGCGTAGATAGTTTCTAAAGCCGCAGTAAGAAATATAGCCACGGGAAATAGCCGAAATGTTCACACGTTTGAGATGCGAGGGGAGGCGACATTGGTCACAACAGTGGAGCAAAGACAATGGGCCCACGGCGTGTGCCAAGCCGCCTGAGGGCCACGAGGCTCAACAAAGAAAATGGGAAGACATCGGCGCACATTTTAAAACCAGTCCCAAAAAAATCGGATAAAAACCTGATTTTTGGCGAAATTTTAAAGTGGATGACGGATGACGCAATGCTGCGTCATCCCCGAGCGAAAGTGTTAAGCAAAAGTAAACAGAAAAGTTTTCAGAATCTGTGTAGGTGTGGGGATTTTTTTTTTTTTTTTTTACTCTTGAGATGTACCCTTATCTTGCGATGATTTCGGGGCTTAACGTCCCCATAGCCCAATCCCCGACCAGGCCTCCTGGTTGCTGGACTAGTCAACCAGGCTGTTGTATGAGAAATAAAAAGTCTAAAGTAACAAGGAATCTTTCCATCTTAGATGTTTTATCATATTTGCAGACATTTTTTGAGTTTGTGTGCCTAATTTAATGCTGGACCTAGACTTTGTTAAATTTACTAATGTTTTATTCAGTAAAGCTTCTGAAGTGCTTGTTTTTACAAATATTAGCTTTGAATTAATTACAGTAGTGTAATTTTTTGCCATTTGTCCAACCTGATGGAATTTTGCACTTAACAAATCACTCTCCTAGTACACCATCCTTGATATATCCTGCCTTTGTTTTCATTAAAATATTTTTATGCTTCTTACAGATAAAACAATAAAATTATGGAAGGTGTCAGAACGAGATAAACGAGCAGAAGGTTACAATTTGCGTGACGAGTCCGGCCAAATCAGGGACCCAACTTCACTAACTTCTTTAAGGGTAACCATACACCTTCAGCAGCTTTTAAACTGACATGTATATATAAGTTATGAAAATTTTACGAAACTACTACAGCCTACTTATTGTAATAAGTAGGTTGAAGTCATCTTTCCAGCTCCACAAAAGTGGTAAATAGGATAGTTAGGATAATTAGAGGCCTTAATAAGAGCTTAGTATTTATGGTATTTTGTTTTTCTTCAATAATTGACTATTTCAGTTTTTATCTTTATTGATTATGATATGCTTTGGATTGGCTGCTGGCGACATTTATGGCAACTTGTCAATGGGAGGAAGTCTGTTCATATCTTCTGCCTCCCCCACACACACACACGACATAAGTTTAGTTTTGTTTATTATTTTTACATAATTAACTAATTATTTCATTATTTTTATTTATGAGTTAGCCAGGGTTATTTAGTTTACCACGTGTTGATTCCTAAGATCAGTGTCTCTGCCGTCCAGCCTATGAGAAGGTATCTTGGTTGATGGTCTGGTCACAAATGAAATAAACCGAGTCACTGTGGCATTAATGGTCTGTGCATTAGTGACTTCATATAAATTAGATTAATTGTGTATGTACAAATACTCCATGTCATGTAATAATCATGTTTCAAATATACCTTATATAAATAAATATTATTATTATTCTGGAGTGTTTATCGGCTGCTCCCTAGGGTAAGATCTGCTCTGCCTATTATATGACCAGATCATGCAAGTTAGGCACGAACCAGGAGTCCCTGCAGAGTCATAGGGGCTAGGGAGTCACTGATACTCAGTCCAGGCCAGAATGCTTAAAAAGGCCTTGGCATTACAGGTTACTGCCAAAGGAGTGTTTACTCTGCCACTTGGCCTGCTTGACCACCTAAGCTGACTAGCACCAATGCACATGTCTCAAGTTTTTTGTCCTGAGCACCTCGAATACATCTTGATGCAAAAAACTGACGAGAACAGATAATATAGGATATTCTTTTCCAAGTTAAACGGCATGATTGGCATAGGTATGAAGAGTTTCAATGAAAATTATTGGAATTGAAATGAAGGCAGGAAATGTCCAGTCATCAGATGATAGCTGCCGGACATCGGCTACAGACTAAAGTTGTTCATTCAAACTTGTCCTCAGTGAGGAGGTACCCTAGAGGTAATCACTTCAAAACCACTATGTAACTAGTGCTATTATCAACATCCTATCCAGGTTAGGTTAGGTTTTCTTACGTTTGGTTGCATTTATACATTGTATTTATTCTCAAACGTGAAATGTGAAATTCAAAAAACCTATTTGAGTATCCCCCTAGAATTTCATTTACAAAAATCTAATTCTTCAAGACACTTCCAAAAAAAAAATGATTTAAGCTTTTAATATTTTAAACCAACAATTTATAATGCAGTAAAGTTATAACTTGAGACTTCTCTGTTTAGGACAAAGATTTACTTGTCAATTTACAAGTAGATTATTGGCATCATAATGTGTTATCAGACCATCACAAATATCTAGATAACTATCTACTTGGTGTGACAATGGGGTTGGTGTCTCCTGGTAATCACTACCCCTGAGGATGGGCTCTCTCTATTCATATGATGGAATTCATTACTAAAGAATTAAATTTGTGCTTTTAATGTATTATCACAATGAATGCTCTTGAGCAGTGGTTCCCAACCATTGGGTCGTGACCCCCTTCCCCTTTCAGGTCTTTTGAGTAATAGAAAATTGGGCATTCCCAAAAGATGGGAACAACTGCTCTTGAGCATGACTTCACGATATTTTTTATTTTAAAACCAGTATTTTAAATTTAAATATGCACCATAGTACAGTACTATAACACTGTAATATTATTACATTATGTAGAATAAACATTGTTTATATAAATTATATTACATATTTTCAGTATTATAACTACAACTCAGATTTGATCGTGATAGAGATTGTTCATAATAACAAAATGTAATGGTAACCATTTCTGAAGATAAATAGTGAACAGTATCACTAACCTGGCTGAAGGTGCAAACTGAGAACACATGTTATTTATGTTAGAAAATTATGATTTGGCTTTTGTTGGAAGTTTTCTTGAATATCAAGCAGTGCACTTTTAATTACAAATTAGTAAAAATGTGTGTGTTTGCAGGTGCCTGTATTAAAACCAATGGAACTTATGGTAGAAGCCTCACCTAGGAGAATTTTTGCCAATGCACATACATACCACATCAATTCTATTTCAATTAATTCAGACCAGGAAACATACTTGTCAGCAGATGACCTCCGAATCAATCTATGGCACATGGAAGTCACAGATCAGGTAAGCCATCAATTATATAGTTGTATCTAACTTTAGCCATCCTTGCTGTGTACCCATCTGATCCTACCCCCATGAGAGTAGCAAATGTAAGTGCCTATTACATTTGCTTTTAGCATATGATTTACCTCTGTTTTCTGTATTCTCATGTACTAGTCATACATAACTAAACCTGCTTCATATATTGCTGCTTAAACATGCTATGATCAATAATGAAAATAAAAGTTTTTAATTTATTAAATAATTGATTTTATAATAAGAATACAGTAATTGCAATTGGTGATTTGTGTGGTGGCTGCCCCCAGTCCACCTTTTCATATTTAATGTTTGCTGTCGATTCTTATCTTTTCTGGGCACCTTAACTACTTATTTCTGAGATATTATTCTCTCTGCTACTGCAGATACTGCCAAAAATATACCACAGGTCACCCAGTAATCTATGCTATGCTGTGTACTGTAGATCCTTTGTTGGTACAAAAAAATTATCCTAATAAAGTTTTATATATATTATTTGCACTGTCTCTAAGAGGTAGACAGTGCCCTAAAATGACAGTTCCTGTCTTTTCTGATAATTCCCAATCTGATAAGAATCACATTTGGAAGTTTCCCTTGTACCGGTCAGGGCATTCACTACTATTATTAAGGCACATCTACGTTTGTTTCCGTGGTGTAGAATTAAGTGTGGACGCAACCATTCCTTAATGAGACTGTTACATCCACGCAAGACAACATCCCCTCACTATTTTGTGTGTAAAATTAAGCACAGTTTTCTTTGAAAGCTTCCTTAATCAGTAGCAAGTATTTTCTGGCAAGTACCTGCAGTAGATGGCAGGTTATATCCAGGTCAACAATGGATATGTGGAAAACATCAAAGGGAAGCTGAACTGCCATGCCATTGATTTGAGGTTAACGCCACAGAACTTGTCCCAACGAAAAAGCGTTGGGACAGCGTAAAGACACTTGTATTTAACAATTAGTTTATTCATAAAACTTAATGCTAATGTGACGGTAAAGCGTTGGTGTTCGGCTGTTTCAAAAGCTAGGGGCAGGGCCTCGTCACATTAAAGAAAAAAAAAGAGAAAAAGCTGGAACTTTCGTCTGTGGTAAGGTAATGGGAAGACACACAAAACACAAGTAAATTTAACAATGAAATTTTAATTACGTTAGAAAAACAAGACATGAATAAAATTAAGCATAAAATATACAAGGCAAGTCAACAGACAAAATAATATTAATAATCACTGGCAAATGAAAAGTTACGTTAAGACAAGTGAGTTATAGCAAAATAAATAATAATAATAATGGAATATTGGCTTCGAGCTGCCACCTCCCTTAGCACACGAAAGCCAAGGCTTAGTCTACTAGCGAGAGATGTCAACTGCAAGGAGCACTGGGATATTCTGACTACTCTGGGCCACTGCAGCCCAGACATCAACTTGTGGCGGAGGGCAGGTGCGACGGGACACCAGCCAATCAGCGACAGGCAGGCAATGGACAAGCAGTTTGCCGGTTTACGGTGGCGGTGGCTAGCAGGTGTGCCGGTGTGCTGGATACGTTTTGCTCTCTGGGCAAAACGTTTTGGAGATACTTGCTGGCCGTATCTTCTATATTATCTGTTGTTGTTACGTACTTTGAAGGGAAGAGCAGGCTCAATCTCTCTTGAAAGAGATTATCGTCACACTAACAATACATGGCAAGAATAATCTGACGTTACGTTAATGTCTGTCGTAGTGCTTGACAAGGCTAGGCTAGCCGGAATAACTGCTTCCGGTTCGGACTGCTCGCGGTATTGCTGACCCTGTCTACTCTTAACAATAGTGGGCAACCACTCCAGACGCAATGGCAACTTGAGACTAGCAAGTAGCAATAACATACAATGAAAAGACAACGGCCCACATTGGTGCCAGATGAGATCCGTGACCAGCGTGGGGTGGTTGATGACTGAATAACAACTGACAGACCTGTCACTGAGATGAGTCTTCCGTGCAATACTCAATTGATTACGTTACTTTACTCTGTAAATATAATTACGTTATTATGTCACCAAGACATGCAATCAAAACAATGACACTGAAATTAACAATGACTTACGGGTAATTAGCAGTCCCTGAGTAATTGTTCAAGGATCTGTCACAGCTTGACAGCTCACTTAATTCATGAAGAATTTACATTATAGCTTGGCGTCAATACCGCTTAACCAACATCAATCAGTCAATACGATTAATAATCACCACGTATTAAATCAATTGATAATCAATCACGTTAAATTAACACTTTCATGCCCACGGCACGTCCACGCACGGCACTACACTGACGTCTCAAGAACAAAGAACACTGGAGTTACAATGCCAACTCAAGAATGATTGAACACAAGTATACTGACGTCTCTAGAATGAATGAACAGAAGGTATACTGACGTCTCGAGATACTGAACACAAGGGATACTGACGTCTCAAGTTACTGAACTCAGTTACACTGCCATCTTGAGATAGTGAACGCAAGTTACACTGACATCTCGAGATACTGAACACAAAGTTACTGTACGAGGTCACAGAAACCACTAAAATATTAATAACCAACACAACACACTGACACTCGTGTCAATAAAACAACAATAGCACAACACACTGACACACATGTGTCAACAATGTAATATACTCTTACTTGTACTTACAGCATGTCCCCTGGAAATATAAAGGAATGGCATGAAAATGGGTTAACATACAGTGATGGTATATATTGAAACCACACTAAACACAAGAAAACGCAGTAAAATACACCCGTCACAGAGACAACTAAATGTGTAAAACTGAATGTGTAAGATGACAATCACACTTAAGATCTGGCTACAGTATTCACACAAAGGCCTTTACCTATCGTACTTCCTCGGGGAGTCGAACTCGGTCCCGTAGGGAAACTAGTGAGAACGAACACCGGATGGCTGAAATAAATTCAACACAAGGAATTTGCACAAAACAAGATACAGAGAAATAGTATTTAAGTACTTGCGTTAATTTATACTGGTAAGACATCCACTCATAAACAGTCACACTCACTACCCCAGTTGTTGATTGAAGCACAAGCCAGGGATGACGGAGTGAGATAGAGGTTGAGGTGGGACACTGCGCTCAGAGGCAGCGAATGAGGCGTGGCTGGATAGCGAGGCAAGGCACGAGGTGCAGCAAGCGAGGCTGGGCGCTGGCCCTACCCTGCGGCTGGAGCGGCAGGCGTGATGGCCACGTGCGTGCAACACTAAGGTCGAGAATGGCTCAACTCTTCCACCAATAACTGGGAGGATGCGTGCTCACTTATAACCACCGGTTTTATGCACAAGTATGATATATTGCTGAAGGCTGAATGAATGCATGCTGGAATATATGTATGTATATATATGTATCTAGGGGCGCCTTGTGAGAGGCACCTGGGGAGAACAATGGCATGAACGTGAAAAATTAACAGACAACGCTTCCCACAGTAAGGAAGATTTACACACGATATTCACTCAAACACAATAGAATCGCTTCCTGATTCTTATTTCTCAGTTACTGAGCAATAAAATGACGGATTGCTCTCGGTGAAGCCGATGTTTTGCGATCACTTTGTACAGTCCAGTTGTGTCTGCTAGGTGACACACGTGACGGCTGAGACTCCACGTATCTTCTTAATATTTCTACCAATAACGGCGCCCAGTCACTGCAGGATTCTGCGACTGCAGCGTGGGGTGGCGTAGGGTCAAGTTAGGCTGGCTGGAAGTTTTAATGGATGGCAGGAACCAAGGTCTTGGCCAGAACCTGATCTCCCACGTTGTGACAGCACAGCTCTCAAACACAAAATGCCCGCCTCGGGCGGGTATCTTACGCCAGCGGCGTTTTGGCGCGAGAATCCAGACAGCAGCTCCTTTGGTGACAGGCGCTCGACTAATCAGCGTCTGGGAGGCCTAGAGCTAGACGTGCCGTTACCAATGAGAGGGAAGCCGGCAGGTGACGCCGATGATGTCACGTCACCGGCGAGGGGAACCGTTGGGTACTTAAGTGGGTCCCTCTACCCTTCTCTCTCTCTGTTGCCATGGCAAAGTTACAGAATTCGGGGAAAACCCGTAACTATTCACTGAGACTACCTACGACAACGAGAGTTACTTCATTGGAATGCTGAAGGCATTTCCTTTCAAAAGAAATGTAATTTCGCCCCTCTATCTCCACTGTCAAGATAGACACTTTTGTGTACAACCTGTGCACATCTCCGAAATTTTCTGAGGCAAAATACCATTTTCTTCTACTACCCAATAGATGTAAGCTAGCTGAGAAGTGGGTCAAAATCCAAATTCTCACGTTTACCACCACATTCTCTCTCCACGTCTGTATGTCTGAGCTGCTTCAGTGCTTCATCCTTGACTCGTCCATCCTCCATCCTAGATTTTTAATGCAGTAATTGTAATTTCATTTTTTCCAGTCCTTCAACATTGTGGACATCAAACCAACAAACATGGAAGAGCTGACGGAAGTGATTACTGCAGCAGAGTTCCACCCCCATGATTGCAATGTGTTTGTTTACTCCAGCAGTAAGGGAACTATTCGGCTGTGTGACATGCGCCAAGCTGCTCTCTGTGATAGCCACTCTAAGTGTAAGTTTATCTGCTTTACTCTTCAGTTTTGTTTCATTATTATTGATTAGTTGTAATTCATCTATTACTTTTAAACATCAGAGTTAAATAATTTATCTGCTTTTCCTGAGACAAAATAGTTGCATTATTATTTTATGAAATGCTAAAATTTATATAAAATATCCAATTAGTGCTCAATAAAATTTTCAGCTTTGCATCATGTGTTTATTGAAAATACAATTTTGTCTATACCATAAGTTATGACATAATTTTCTATATATTGATACATATTTGAAATTATTACACCTTGATAGTATTAAGTATTATTTGCTTTTTTTCAGTGTTTGAAGAACCTGAAGATCCTACAAATCGTAGCTTTTTCAGTGAAATTATCTCCTCCATTAGTGATGTAAAGTTTTCAAATAGTGGTCGCTACATGATTTCACGGGACTATCTCTCGGTCAAAGTATGGGATCTACACATGGAAACCAAGCCAATAGAAACTTATCCAGTAAGATACTTGTTCATTTTTTTGTTAAAAATAGTTTCAAATGTGTGATGATGTGATGACTCTTTGTGCTCATGATCTTCAAAGCTGCTTGTAGTGCACAGATGCCAACCTTACAGCTAATGGACCAAACATGGTATTGACTCTGGAGTAATTTGACAGTCCATCCTCCTGTTTAGATAGTACTTATAGTAACAATGCGAACCATCGCACATATATCAATGTAATGGACAATTAGAAAGTACAATTTGGTACTATTGAATTTGAACAAACCGGAAAAGGTTTTGTATTTGTTGCTAATAAAACCTAAATAAACCTAAACATCCTAAGCCTAATATACACTACCCAAGGCCTTGTATAGTTCATATACGTGCTCTACTAAATTTAGGAATGCTTAGTTTTTAGCCGGGTTTTTTTCTGGACTTGAATAGTATCAATTTCTACTTTCTAGTTGTCCATTACGTCAATATTTGGATGATGGTCCACATAGTTACAAAATTTACTATCTAAACAGGAGGATGGATTGAATTTGAAGGAAATTAAGAGTGCACATAATCGAGACAATAATAGATTTTGAATTTTTTATTATATTATTATGCAGTGTGACTTATTATATGGTTCCCTTTTTTATGAATTCTTGGGTTAACCGGAAAGAAAAATATCCAGGGCTTCCTTCTCATTTACTTAAATACTGTCCCAGCTCACTAAAGAGGATCATAAGGAGCAGACCTCAATCAAAATCACAGAGGTTTGAGTTACCCGATTCTTTATGGAGCTTCCTACATATTTACAACTAATTTTTACCCTAAATCAGTAATACACCAAAGGTACAAAATTAAAAAAAATTTAAATAAAAATAATAATATACACTTGTATAAATAAAAATTACAAAACTATAAGTAAGGGTATGCCATTGTGTATAGCAATGTGAGGGAGGGAGGGAGGGTGGAAGGAAGGGTGCTTGGGGGTAGAAGGTAGGGTGGCAGGAAAAAGGGGGTGTGAGGGGACGGTGGCTCCAGTGTGGTGAGGGTTCTCGGTGGTATGAGGGAGGGTGGCGATGGGGGGTTGGCTTGATGGTGTGAGGGAGGGTGGCTGGTTGCATGTGCAAGAGAGGTAAAAGTTGTAACAGATCAGAGCAGAAGAAAGCTCTTGTCGTCAGTTGGATAACAATAGTAGTGATCGTCTAATGAACTAAAGTGGGAGATGGTCGCAAGGGTAGATGGACTCACAGCCAGGACCGGCAGTTGAGACTTGGCCAGGGCTCAGTCAAGGCTCATGATTCAGGGTACAGAGGACCACTTGGTTTGCGAACCCCTTTGGGACGAGACCCGTCAATTATCGTGTGAGTTCGTAAACAAGGAATGGAGGAAAATAAACAAACTAGAAATGTGGGAAAAAATAATCGAGAAATGCGAGAAGAAAATATACTGGGAAAAATAGACAGGTTCATAGGATAAATGTGACGGGATTTTCTTTGTACTCACCAATAAGAGAAGTCCTGATCCACTTATGTTGATGATCGATGTTGATGAAGCATAATTATTTACATGGAAGAGGTGGTGGTGGATGTTGATGGTGTTGTGTTGACTGGGCCAACATGTGATAAGTCAGATGCAGGCGAGGCAATGCCAGCTTTCTTGCAAACCTTTGCAAAAGACTTTAATTTAATTGACATTTCAAACTCACTGTTACTCATGTCCATAAATGCCAGAATGCCTTCAAAATGTTGCTGAACTTTTTCCATATTTAATTTTTCCTTTAACGTTTTTTCATACTCTTCCTCGCCATCTTCTTCATTGCACTCTTCTGGCTTTTTTGTTGCTCATACTAATTCTATAATTTCATCATCAGTCATGTTTTGATTAAATGAACAAATCCACAAGAGCCGTGATGAGGGTTCTAACCTACGTCCAGGATGATTCCAGATGTGCCTTAGTCTGGGGCAACCCTTGTGGATTTGTTCATTAGATGTATCACTCTATTGTGATTTCTGTGTGCATGTTTTGATTGTTTGGGGCTTCATCAAAATTTATCCACTTATTTATCTCATCATCTACTGTTTCAGTCACCAGTTCTTCTCTCAGTTCGGGGGACTTAATCCCCTTGACATAGGCTAGGAGTTCCTCTTTTAATTTTTTCCTCTCGCTAACTTTCTTTGCAGCAAATCCTTCAAAATCTGCCTCATCTTCCTCGGGAAACAGACGTGACGTGGGCCAAAGTTTTTTCCAACCATTTCTTAGTGTTGTTTGCTGTACCTCATTCCATGCACTAGCAATAATCCAGATAGCCGACTTTATTGTGAAGACTTTATAACAGTCCTTAATTATTCCTAGCTGATTATTATGACATCTGGCAAACATCCTCTTGTAGTGGTGTTTAAGGTTCTTAATTATCCCTTGATCCATGGATTGTTGGATCAGTGAAATTGTATTGGGTTGTAAGATGATTTCAATGACATTGCCATTTACTAGCTCATCACCTCGTGGGTGCTTTGAACTATTATCTAGCAGCAGCACAACTTTGCTGTTTTGCGGGAGGCCAAAACTTTTCATGTGCTGCTTTACCTCGGATACAAAGTTCTTGTATGTTCACTCTGCAAATATTACTCGAGACATCCATGCACTTGACTGGTCCTTATTAATCACAGAGAGGCACCTAGCTGACTTTAAAGCCCTGGGGTTTTGACTAATTCCAATCACATGTAATTTCAATTTGTGCATGCCAGCTGCATTTGCACAGCACAACAAAGACATTCTCTGTTCTGTTTATAACCACCTGAAGGATTGTCCTCACCACTATGAGCCATCGTATGTGTGGGTAGCGTGCCAGTACAAACTTGTCACGTATTCGTCAGATGCCAGTACTCGTCAACATTATAAATTTGCTCTGGAGATAAATTTTGTTCCTGCACCATCTCTGCAAATTTACTTGAATACTCATCAGCACCAATAGTGTCAGCAGATTGTCTTTCACCATGTACTTTAATGAACCTAATGACATGGCGGTTTTTAAAGCTTCTGAGCCATCTGTCACTGTACACACTTCGAGTAATTTTCATTGCTTGGCGAAATTTACGTGCCTTTTCCACGAGCAGCCAGCCTGCCATTGGCTTCTTAGTCACCTCACGCCTCTGTTTGTACCACTCCCACACTGCATTATCAACACTCTACTTTTTGCTTTACTTACTAACTTTCTCTTTTGTATTGCTTTTCAACTTTCACTTCTAGAGAAATGGTAAAAGATGATAGGTTTAGCCTTAAGATCAAAAACGGTACTTTTGCTAATGCCATATTCTGCGCACGTGACACTTCTCGGGACACTGCTCTCCACCTTCTTAATTATTTTAACTTCTCAAATGTCATCGCTGACCTCTTTTACGTAACCCGCATGTTGATGCTTTTACTGACACAATGTGTGCATTTGGAGCCGACATGGTGCATGGATGTTCCTTGATTGTGCAGATATGTAAAACAAAGTCACGGAATGAGCACTCCAGCCTCATGACAAATCAAAACAATGGGAACAATAGGCGGAAATCTGTGACGTCACAGGGTAGAAGGCACTCTATAGTGGTGGTGCCCGACATGGTCAGTGGGCAAACTAGACCATCTCCCACCTGCCACCCCGGGCCGGTGCGATGCTTGGCGGACCACTTCCTCACCCGAACATGGTTTGTGTAATGTAACCCCAACCCCGGCCGGCGCGAGGCTTGGTGGACCATTTCCTCATCCGAACTTAACCCCAATTGGGAAACTTGAACTTTCGGATAACTTAAGTTCGCAAACCAAGTAGTCCTCTGTACCACTAACAGTAGCAATTCATTGCATGTCTGCAGAGTAATTTTTCTTCGCTATAGTTTGATAAGCCTTCTAATTACTAGGCGTCTTTGTTATTATTTATACAATATGTAATTTTAAATGTGTACAGTATACTTTAGTACAAAGAGAATGTTTCAGTAATAGTATTGTAGAGTAATATAACAAAATCGATGAGCATACAACCCCCTTTGTCTCTTGGATTATACCCCAATGGCCATCAAGGAATTCAACAGAAGACTTCGGCACATCCAATGTAAGTACAAAGTACAAACTTAATTGTTATGAACGTGCACATGTGCAGTATTACAAAGGCGTTGTGAGTAAATATTTCGGTTTGCTACATATATATATTGGTGCATTTTCATTAAAAGACCACATATGTCAAAATGCAGTACGTATCAAAATTGTTACACAATCTCCTTTTGGTAATCCAGGATTTCAGTTTTTCCAGGTAATTGGTGTCATATTGTAACATAGCCTCTATAGCTGAGTAAATATGAAAGACTGGTTAGTTTTACATATTGTATAGCGAGTTATTTGGTATTGATTAGAGCACTTTCTGTTAAGGTTTGACCCTCGATGTGCAGTCATGATGATGATCATCTTGGACACTGCCATTATTGCCATTGGTCAATATCGGTATTATTGCCCAGTTTATATTCTAGTGATGTTAATAAGATTATAATAAATCTGTATGAATATAATGGAGTAAACCAAGACCCATGAACAAATTCTGGAATAGTTTTGTAATTTCTTACTATGTGATAAGGTTACCGTGTACTAGGGGCTTGAGGGTTTTTGTAAAATTACAATTTGGTCCCTCACCCCCTTTTTTTTTAATCCATGCCAGGATGACATTCACAGACATAATCACAGATAAGTGATTCTTATCACTTTGAGGATAATTCCTTTGAGCTCTTCCAGGAACAGATTTTTTTTTTTAATTAGGTGTACATATTAAATGTTGCCTTACGTACAATATTCAATAACTTTTTGCCAATCATTTGTACATAACTTGAATTAATTCAATACAAACACTGCATTGTGTGAACTAATCAGGGAAACAATGAACATAAAACTATCAAGATAAACATGAATCTCCTCCACTTATACCCCTGTCAGCACCTCTCATATGAGGCATCAAAAGACAGTGATCTCTGCTTCTTGTCACAGCTGATGAAATCAGAAGATGTAGATCTTTCAGACCTGGCCTTAAGTAAATCCTCGGTGCATTAGCTCTGGTACCATAGACTGCCACAAAACTACCAGGTCTACTGAACATCAGGACCAGAATCTGGTTTACTCATAGTGGCAAGAGGAGCATAGGGATCCAAGATTTGCCACGGCACACATTATGCTTTGTCTTGTGGCACTATTTACATGTTGCTCGTCTCAGGCTGTTGCTCTTTCTGTTCATCTTGGTGCTTTCTTCGAATGCTAGGGTTTCTCGGGTCATCTCTCCAGTGGTTCAGTTTGGCAATACTGCTGGGTATCCAAGTGTGCAAGCATGCAGCTACTATATTATTACTTTCAACTGTTCACCCAGCAGTAATTGGATACTTGGGTGTTAACCGATTGGAGGGTTATGTTCCAGGGAGGACTAGTGGGCAAGGCTTCACATGAGCTATGGAAAGGGAAAGCTCTTGGCCTGCTAACAGAAATTAGAGGTAATTTTTTCCTGTGCCTACCTGTGTAAAGAGTGAGAGGGGGGGGGGGGATCTTGCACTTACCTCAGGTTCAGTTCCTTGGGTTTCAGCCCTCTAACCTTATTAGTCAGCTTTCAGTGTTTGATGATTAAAATATTTTCCAGTTTATCTTCACCCAAAGATGGGGGGTTTACCTCCCTCAGGCACTGTTGGGAGCATTACTGGGGAGCTACTGAGGACCATCCCAGAAATCAGGTGCTGAATACAATGAAATGCTCCTATTTGGGCAGCCTTTTCTCATGATTGTATTAATTTTTTTCTTTCCCTTCACAGGTACATGAATATCTTCGCTCGAAGCTGTGCTCATTATATGAGAATGATTGTATATTTGATAAATTTGAATGCTGCTGGAGTGGGAATGATTCTGCTATCATGACGGGCTCGTACAATAACTTCTTCCGCATGTTTGATAGAACATCCAAACGAGATGTCACTCTAGAGGCCTCAAGGGAAACAGCTAAACCTAGATATTTACTAAAACCAAGAAAGGTATGTTTAGGAATTGTATATTCAAATAATTTTCATATTTTTTAAATATTCAAATTAGATACAGTCATGGGTTCTGTGGAACCTCTGAAAAAATAATGGATTAAATAAAAATTTTGCTCATTAAAATCTAAAAAAAATTGTGTATTGTAGTGACTGTTAGTACAGTAATGTGTTTGTATAGTGTAGACGAGATAATGTTGTAATTTTTGCCGTGTTGTGAAATGTTGAAGGTGGAGATAGGGTCAATTTAAAATTGAACATTAAATGTGCCTGTTATATTTGAATTTGTACACTCTTTTGTGCGAATATTAAATGTACAATAATTTTTTTTTTGTAATACTGTATAAGAGTTCTTAAAAAGTTATCTTTTAAGTATAAAATATGGGATATAAACCATTATTTAAGTAATGTAAAAACTGTAAGTTTAAAGAAATGATTTTGATTTGTAAAGTATGATTAAGATAAGAATACAGAAACTTTTTATATAGTAATGAGTAATTTATGGTGCTCTTTAGTTGGAAGAAATCAAATTATTTTAAGATGTTATGAGGAGATTTAAGATTCATATTGTTTTGTAGGTGTGCACTGCAGGTAAGAGAAAGAAGGATGAGATAAGTGTAGACTGCCTTGATTTCAATAAGAAGATTCTCCACACGGCCTGGCACCCACATGAAAATATTATAGCTGTTGCTGCAACTAACAACCTTTACATATTCCAAGACAAATTTTAACGATCCTCTTCTGATGACTAGAGCTTAGGTAAGTTATGGCATATTTTCTGTAATTAGTTCTGGAGGGTGGTGCTCATTTTTCTGTTGAATATTAACACTTCTCTAACTGTTCAGCGTTAAGTGAATTGTTTACTCAAAATTGTTTGTTTGTTTGCAAACATATTTTGGGGATTAGAACATTGATTTTAGTGTGAAAATGTTTTGAAATTAACTTCTTTGAGTATAGCCACAACGTGATTTCTATTACCGATGTTATCTGTACAGGTGCTGTTCAATTAATTAACAATATAGCATAACAGATTTCTACAGTACACAACTGTTTGGAGTTAGAAATTTTACATGTAAAGATACCCAAATGATTGATTTGTAATTCTGTGGAAAGGGGGGAAAGGGGTTGCCACATGCACATTGTGTATTGAATTACTTTCCCTTACCAAAATTCTGGCCTTGTGTGTGGACATAATTTTCCAACAGTTGCTAGAGGCTGATACACAGTATTACCTTCAAAAGATCACACATGCTTTAGATAAAGTTCAATGCAGGGGGACAAAATTTACCCCAGGATCAAGTCAACTCTAATACAGCATACCAGGAAATGTTTAGGGTATCAGCATTAACAATACAACAAACCAAACATGACAGCTGATCTTTTCAAGACCTTTAAAATACCAAACAAATTTGAACATATTAATTCAGATCACTTTCTTAAAAGATTCAGTGTAACTCATACAATGGGGCAACAGTTTTAAATTCAACAGGTTTTTTCACCTATAGGGTAACAAGTCATGGAATCACTTACTGGTAAGCCCTGTCAGATTTGTTTGCTTTTTTTCTTTAGACACCCAGGCCTCCTCTGCAGGTGCGTCATCGTGTGTTAGCTTGGAGAAGTTCCGAGTGGGCCCTTCCCAGAAATCAAGCATTGAATGTAATGAAACACTGTTTTCTAGTGGGTTATATAATAGCTTCCCGTCCCCCATTGTTCCCTTTGTTGGGTTGCTTGCGAGCGAGTCTGGGGCTCTCGGTCAGTGAAGTGGCTGAGATCCCAAGTGACCTGAGTTGCCACCTAGTGGCAGTCATGTACATCACAGTTTGGGTGTTTATACTGCAAGAAGCCTTGTTACCTGAAGGTACCTAATTTTGTTCGATGGCTTGTTTTCTTGCACTTGGGTCTATGGGGCTTGGTGAATCCTTGTAAGATTTGGCCGAGCTGCACTCACCTTGGAAAGTGGGTGTGGGCCTTGCCAAAAAATGATGTTTTATTATTCAATTCTTGATTTTTTTGTAAGTGTATTCAAGTTATTTATATATTTCTGTAGAAAGAAGAAAACAATTATGGTACTTGCATGTTGTTTATTCAGTCAAGTGTTAAAAGCAAATCTAATTGTAAGCAGATTCGACTGTGTTTTCGCGTGACAGTAGGGCTAACGTGTGGAGGGTTGGATCCTACTTGTTATTTTTTTTTTATTTTTTTTATTATCCCTCCTTGTGGAGGGATCTACCCACTTGCTGTTATTTTTTCTAAGATTTAAGATTGTTAAAATGTGTTCCCTGATCACGGGGAAAAAATAATAAAAATAATCATAGGCGACATATTTTGGCCGCAATAGGGCGAGGAAGTCTAACAATGACAGTCTCTGTGGTGTAGTGGTAAGACACACGCCTGGTGTTCTGCGAGCACTTTGTCATGGGTTCGTATCCTGGCCGGGGAGGATTTACTGGGCGCAAATCCTTAACTGTAGCCTCTGTTTAACGCAACAGTAAAATGTATACTTGGTTGTAACAACGATTCTTCACGGCGGGGATTGTATTCCAGGGACCTGCCCGAAACGCTACGCGTACTAGTGGCTGTACAAGAATGTAACAACTCTTGTATATATCTCTCTCTCAAACAAGATTCAGACTGGCCCCAGACAAGATATGCGTCCGGGGCCAGTCTCCTCCTCCAGAGTCGTAAGGCAGGAATTAACACAAAGATATTATTACTTAATTATTTTAATGTCTGATTTTTTATTATTAATATTATTCAATGGTGTGTAGTGTGATATATTTATATAATAAAATGTGTGAACCATTGATATACTCAAAAATACTGTGTACCTATTAGTGATTCAATTACGTTCATAAAATAACAACAAAATATTTTGCTTTTATTAAACTATATACTATACACAGGTTATATTTACATTTGTGTTCATCAAAACGAACCACTAAATTAGTATGGTGAATCCAGAAAATAAGAGTAGCCACCAGCCAGCTGACACCACCTCCCTCTCTCACCAAGATTCCCAACTCCCACTGTACTACGCACATCACTAATTCTCGCCACAATGCTGCTATTATCAGAACGCTGGTTGCTAAATCCTGTAAATGGATATTTTTTCACAAGTTTATTTTGTAAAGGAACATAAGAAGTCATTTCAAGATTCTTAGATTGACCAAACAATGGCAGTGTATTGTGGCTAGCGCTGTGAACATCTTGAACAGCAGTGTGTTCACTGATTTTTGAACAGTCGTTTTATCAGTCAGGCTCTTCTGTAATACTATCGTCGTTAAATAATAGCAGTTGCATATATATTTTGACATTTTTTGGTGATGCTGTGGGCACAAGCTGAACAGTAGTGCTGTTAGTTCGTGCCACATGCACCAGTCTTGGTTGCTCACTCAGTACCAGTACTAGGGCCTTCACACCTGGGAATGTTACCCACAATTTTTTTTTTTTTTTTTTTTTTAATGACGTCTGTTTACTAGAGCCCTGAGGAAGCTGATGTGAACGTCATATACCTGCGGGACATTTAAATCTTACGTGGTACTTTAAAATGCATATATATGATGTGCACTGGGCAGGTAGTTAGAACAAAATTCGCATATACTGTATACAATTTGCGCTGTTTAAGCGCAAATAAGGTCTTGCAAGATTTCTGTTCTTTGCCTAAATAACTTAGATGGTAATGTGTGCATGAGAACAATTAATTTAACCCTTCATAATTTAATTTGCTTTGCAGGCCCTCCAGTTGGTGGATGTTTTGGGCAGTGTCATATGGTGGTGTAGATGGAAGGGTCCTCGTGTGTGGCCTCTGCACCTTGTGTATGGCGTGTCCATAAAGTTGACATCTGCTACTTAAAGCCACACAACTCATGCCGACCACTTATCTTGGCATCCCCCAGATCACATTGTGGCTCTTGTGTCTTGGGTTGTTTCCAAGTGAGTGGTGGTCCCAAGTGCCATGAGCCAGTGGCAACCTATTGCCCAGGGCTATTGCGCCCATTCGTCAGTGCTGCCATCCCATAGGACATGTCCAGCAGCCTTCCCAGCAGCTGATTCCTGGATAATTGTGATTCCTGGAAAAAACAAACATGTGGGTGCCCTACCCTTGTGATCATTTATCTGTGTTTCACCCTCAGATCATCTGTTGAGAAGTGTTGACATTAGTTGCCTTCTCTCAAGGCTATTAAAACATAATTTAAGAAGAATAATGGCTGACTAGGTGAATCCAGTGATGAATGGATAGAAGTTTGCCATGTTATTATCAATAGATTAGTGGCTTAAAATTAAAAGATATGGACTGCAGAGCCCAAATTTCTTTCTCTGATGCCTGGCTTTCTGATGAATTTGAATGTATCTTGTTCCCAAATCGAGCTGTGACCAGTAACATGAATTACTTAGAGAATGGGACATGATAGAACAAGCCTTGCGGATAGATATGGTTTAGTTTCTGCTTGTGCAAACATGGGCACAAAACTAATCCTTACTGGAGTGAGGACTGTGCTGCCATGCCCTGTGCTCTGTGACAGTGAGTAGCATGAATGTTTCACAGGATTAAGTTGATGCGCTCATCGCTTCTACAAGATCACCTCTGGCTGCCAGAAATGCGACGTGATTACCAATATTGAACTTTAGTTGGTGCGTTTCAGTAAGACTATTTTCTTAAATAATATTAAAATAGAAAATGAGACTTTATTGAATGTTCTCCCAAGGTTCACGATGGGTATTCTTGGCGTAAATATCTAGTGTGTGGCACACGGCCGCACAAAAGTTTCCTCTTCACCTAGCCTTTCTATCATTTTTTTTCTTTTTCCATTTTGACATAAAAAAATTGTTGAAAAGATAATTATTTCAAGTGTTTATGGTCTCAAACTGCTGTATACTTTTTTAATTAGTTCAGTGTAATAAATTATATTTCAATAGGCAAGCTGTGTTTTTATGAAATTAAATTTAGGAGTGAAAATGTTTCCATAATTTTCATTGGTTCTTCAAGGTTGTGGAAGAATTGCTATGTATTAACTGCTTTTATGTAATTTGTCCACAAGTCTTTAGTCGAGTCGATACAGTTTGATTCTATAAAGTGGGTGATAAAAATACTCTTGTCCAGTTTTGGATTCATTGTTTGTGATCAAATAAGTTAAATCATACAATGTGATAAAAAGTGCTGATCTGTCAGTTATGTAAGGGATGCTCTGCCTTTTATTTTTTTTAAATATATAATAAAAATTTTAGGAATGCTTGTTGAACTAATGTTTAATCATGGCTGGGAAACACCTTTTCTATATAGAAATGCTTTGATTCACCATGTGTTCAAGTAATTCAGTGTATTAAAACACTGAAAACTATGACTGGCAAATTTTGCCTCCATGTTTTGTGGGTCATTTGAACTTGGGGTGCCATCAGACAAAATATATAAATGACTATTTAATAATGTGATTTCCTCCAGTAAACCTGCCGTCACATTATAGTACTTTATATTAACACCAGTACTGTATTTTTTCATCTGTTACTGGTACATACAAAATTGTCTACAAATGAGTATGCAGACCAGGGGTTTGTCAAATGTTATTGTGAAGAAACAATCACAAGTGTTAAGTAGTTTCCCAGAAACAATTGAAAAATAACTAATATCAACATGAGTTGTATCTTTTTCATTTTTTCCTCATTGAAGCTGCACATAACTTGAATGGAATACTGTATTGAGCTGTGAGCAGTATTGATAAGAGGTTCTGTGTAGACCTTGAGGTTATCTTGAGATGATTTCGGGGCTTTTTAGTGTCCCCGCGGCCCGGTCCTCGACCAGGCCTCCAACCCTAGGAAGCAGCCTGTGACAGCTGACTTAACACCCAGGTACCTATTTAACTGCTAGGTAACAGGGGCATAGGGTGAAAGAAACTCTGCCCATTGTTTCTCGCCAGCCCCTGGGATCAAACCCAAGACCACAAGTCCAGCGTGCTATCCGCTCGGTCGACTGGCTCCCTATTCCAAGTATAGTAAATTGTGACTTCTGATTGATCTGGTCATTGTTGATAATTCCTAGAATCACCACCAGGTATTTGAATAAATGTAATTTTCTCTAAAAGTACTGAAATTTCAGAGAAATTATTTTGCCAAGATAATATAGTTAACTACTCTACAACATAAGAGACCAAAAGAAGTAATGCAATAGTGCACTTACACTTAATTTCCTAAGTGTGTGCATGAGCTGTTTTCAGGTAGTCATAGGATGCTTCTGCTCCACTCTCTACGTGATTTGCATCCTGTTTGGATCATAGACCACCTACTTAATGGACAGCTGTGTATGTGGATGGGCAAGTAAGTAATTATCAAAAGAAGGCACCAAACCAGGAAGGCTATGTAAGTAAGTAATTATCAAAAGAAGGCACCAAACCGGGAAGGCTATGTAGCACCATCAAATGTGCGGAATAATCAGAGGGCGCTAAATATCACCAAGGATGACAATACGAGAATGCAGTACGGCGAATGATATCAAAAGTATCCGAGTCGCCAAGAATTCTATTGAGGGACAGGCGACCGCGAAGGGCGGTCGGAAAGTAAGTAATTATCAAAAGAAGGCACCAAACCGGGAAGGCTATGTAGCACCATCAAAGACGCAAAATAATCAGAGGGCGCTAAATATCACCAAGGATGCCAATACGAGAACAAAAACGCATAAGGCGAATGATATCAAAAGTATCCGAGTGACCAAGAATTCTATCGAGGGACAGGTGACCGCGAGGGGCGGTCGGAAAGCAAAACACGCTCGTCCTGGAAGTCAGGACATTCAAGTACATGCACGACCGTAAGAGGGACAATAAGGAGCAGGACGGCGCTCCAAGTGACCATGGGTTAAGCAAGTATGGCCAATACACAACCTTGCCAGAGCTGTTTCCCATCGCCGGTTACAGTGGTAGCAGGACGGCCACGAGGAGAGAGAACATTTAAGAGTGCGTAGTTTGTTACCAGTAACAGACGACCAAGAAGCCTACTAACGGGCAAGGATGGAGGAATGGATAACCGGGTAAAAGTCGGAATATGGAATACCTTTACGAGAGATGGGACAAGAGCGGACAGCTTCCGCACGCTCATTTAAAGACACCAATATGGCTGGGAACCCAACAAAATTCTACCGACTTAAATTTACTGTGAAAAAGAAACAGCCAATGCTGGATCTCGACAACTACTGGATGAACCGGATTAAAGGACCCGAGAGCCATGAGGGCACTACGCGAGTCAACAACAACTACAAAGGGAGACTGACAACGAGAAAGCAGGAGACGAAGAGCATAGAGAATAGCATAAAGCTCCACTGTAAAGATGCTAGTCTCCGGAGGTAAGCGACACATATAAGTGCGATCAGGAAAAACAACAGAGTAGCCAATACCGTCTGCAGACTTAAACTCATCAGTGAAGACAGAAATGGAGCGGGAGAAGAAAAGTGCCAACGTAAGTAATTATCAAAAGAAGGCACCAAACCGGGAAGGCTATGTAGCAACATCAAATGCGCAGAATAATCAGCGGGCGCTAAATATCACCAAGGATGCCAATACGAGAACAAAAACTTATAAGGCGAACGATATCAAAAGTATCCGAGTCGCCAAGAATTCTATTGAGGGACAGGTGACCGCGAGGGGCGGTCGGAAAGCAAGACACATGCTCGTCCTGGAAGTCAGGACATGCACGACCGTAAGAGGGACAATGCAACTAAGACAATAAGCAGCAGAGCGGCGCTCCATCAAGTGACCATGGGTTAAGCGAGTATGGCCAATACGCAACCTTGCCAGAGCTGTTTCCCATCGCCGGTTACGGTGGTAGGAGGATGGCCATGAGGAAACACAACATTTAAGAGTACGAAGTTTGTTACCAGTAACAGAACCAAGAAGCCTGCCAACGGGTAAGGACGGAGGAATGGATAACTGGGTAAAAGTCGGAATACGGAATACCTTTATGAGAGATGGGATAAGAGTGGACAGCTTCCTTGGCGGCAGCATCCACACGCTCATTTAAAGACACACCAATATGGCTGGGAACCCAACAAAACTCAACCGACTTAAATTTACTGCGAACAAGAAACAGCCAATGCTGGATCTCGACAACTACTGGATGAACCGGATTAAAGGACCCGAGAGCCATGAGGGCACTACGAGAGTCAACAACAACTACAAAGGAAGACTGACAACGAGAAAGCAGGAGACGAAGAGCATAGAGAATAGCATAAAGTTCCGCTGTAAAGATGCTAGTCTCCGGAGGCAAGCGACACATATAAGTGCGATCAGGAAAAACAACAGAGTAGCCAACACCGTCCGCAGACTTAGACCCATCAGTGAAGACAGAAACGGAGCGGGAGTGAGAAGAAAAGTGCTCAAGGAAAATGCGTTTTAGAACCGTAGGAGGGGTAAAAGCTTTAGTGATGCGGGTGAAGGATGTACAAAACTGCGGAAGGGGGACTCTCCACGGGGGCAAAGAAGGAACAACACGAGGAGAAACATTAGAAACCCGAACGGAAAGAGAATCCTGTAAGCGAGATAACCGGACAGAAAGAGGGAGGTGGTGAAGAGGAACAGGAACCGCAGGAGGGGTAAAAGTTAAAGCACGACAGAGGCGAGAGGATGTTGTAAGGACTGCGCAAGATAGTGAAGACAGTAGCGTCACGGCGGTCCTGGAGAGAGGAAGCCAGTGTCAACATACAAGCTAAGGACGGGAGTCAAACGAAAGGCACCAGAACCGAGGCGCAACCCAGTATGGTGCAAAGCATCAAGACGGCGAAGAGTAGAAGGAGAAGCAAACGAGTAAGCAGGGCAACCATAATCGAGCTTAGGCAGGACGAGAGAGGAATGTAAAGCAAGGAGAGTGCGCCTATCCGCTCCCCAAGAAGTATGGGACAATACCCGAAGGAGGGTAAGGGCCTTGGAGCACTCAACACGGAGGTAAGAGATATGGGGAGACCAAGACAAACGAGTGTCAAGGAATAACCCCAAAAGCTTCGTACTCAAGGGGATGATCATAAAGTGACAAAGGGACGGAGAACAACCCGTTTCCAAGTAAGAGTCATGACACAAGTCGTAGTAGTAGAGAACTTGAAGCCATGATCGGTGGCCCAGAGGAAACAGTAGGGGGGTGCCAATTACAGTGGAACACCGGTTTCAAACTCTGTAAGATCTAGATAAAGGATGAACGAAAGACACCAGAGGCAAGAAACCTGAGGATGGTGCAGAGCATCAAGACAAAGGTTCGAGGATGAAGCTGTGACATAAGTGAGGGAGTCGTAGCCTAGTTTAGGCATGAGAAGGAAGGAGTGCAAACTGAGGAGCCAGTTTTGAAGGTAAGTGGTATGAGGCAACTAAGACTAGTGTGTGTTTTCCATGGAGTGACAAGGTGAGGAACTACATGCTTCGGTACCAGTAACAAAACATATTTTAGCTGGGGAGAACTGAATGCCATAATTGGTAGTGCAAAGGGGCACTTGATCAAAAGTTGTAATGAGGTATGTGCATTTCAAGGGTTAAGCCTATCAAAAGTCAATGTACATGAATAGGATAGTAGAATACAGTACTGAAATTCATATCTAGAAGCATTAGCAATAACATCTAATAACCGAACCCACATATATGAAGGGAAAGTGGCAGCATTTTGGTGTATCCTGGAACCTCATAAGTAAAAAAAAGAGCGAGGATGCCATTATAATGCAAGAAAATAGGCAAGATGTAAGTAAATAAAGTGAAGCATGAAAATCTAAAGGCAGCTCTCTGCAAGATGAAAGAAAAATTAAGAGAAAGGAAGTACTAGTAATTATCGAAAGAGGGCACCAAGTCGGGGAGACTGTAGCACCATCAGAGGTGCAGGATATTTAAAAGATGCTAAATATCACTAAGGATGCCAATACAAGAACAAAAGGAAGTGCTTGCTTGCTCTCTAATTCTGTTTTTACTTAAGATTTGCACCCGCCCCCCATTCCATCCCAAAGCCATATACTGATCCCTTCCAAGTGCTACTGTAGTCGTAATGGCTTGGCACCTTTTCCTGCTCGTTCCCGTTCCCTTCCTGCTTTTTCTTTTCCTTTCATCTCAGGGAGCTGCCTTGAACTAGTTTTCATGCTTTACCTTTCCATTTAAGACTGGCAGAGGCTCTATTGTTGGCTTTCAGTACTCACCTAGTTATACTTGCGGGGGTTGAGCTCTGGCTCTTTGGTCCCGCCTCTCAACCGTCAATCAACAGATGTACAGGTTCCTGAGCCTATTGGGCTCTATCATATCTACACTTGAAACTGTGTATGGAGTCAGCCTCCACTACATTATTTCCTAATGCATTCCATTTGTCAACCACTCTGACACTAAAAAAGTTCTTTCTAATATCTCTGTGGCTCATTTGGGCACTCAGTTTCCACCTGTGTCCCCTAGTGCGTGTGCCCCTTGTGTTAAATAGCCTGTC